TATCACATTACTGAAGTAAACAGGTTAGATATCACATTACTGAAGTAAACGTGTCACATATTACATTACTGAAGTAAACAGGTTAGATATCACATTACTGAAGTAAACAGGTCACATATCACATTACTGAAGTAAACATGTCACATATCACATTACTGAAGTAAACAGGTTAGATATCACATTACTGAAGTAAACGTGTCACATATTACATTACTGAAGTAAACAGTTCACATATCACATTACTGAAGTAAACAGGTCAGATATCACATTACTGAAGTAAACAGGTCAGATATCACATTACTGAAGTAAACAGGTCAGGTATCACATTACTGAAGTAAACGGGTCAGGTATCACATTACTGAAGTAAACAGGTCAGGTATCATATTACTGAAGTAAACAGGTCAGGTATCACATTACTGAAGAGAGGATGTTATATGTTCAAATGTGTTCTGGTAACTATAATGGCATTTTATGCAGAAATCTGACGTAATATTTTCACATTTTGATGAGTTTTATTACCAAAATTAATATTTTTATAGGTACGAGAAGCATTTTTTAAATTTTTATTCTCACAGGTAACAAAAGCATGTTTTATTTTCGCAGGTAACAAGAGCATGTTTTATTAGTACCACCAGCGTGTACACTGGCAGTACTCATGGTTTTAGTCCCGACCCATCTCGTATGGCGCAGCTGGCTACGTTGGCTCCGCCGGCTCTGCTGGCACTGCAGGGTGTCGAGGGATACAAGTCACCGTTACCGCTTCTCCTCCTAGACCGCAAGGACCTGTGTCCCCATCTCTTGGATTTAGGTCACATATAATCTCATCTTGAACCCCCTGGTATTTTTGTCTCAGTCGGTGCATTGGCCTGGGCGTGATGCTGGTTGAAATGCACCCTTGTCAAAATTTTTGAAAATTATCTCGCAAACCAAAGGAATTATTAGAAAAATTACTACAGAAGTCTGACCGAGTGTCATATGTGGAGATTACGAATATGCCCTTGGATTTGACTTTTAACCTTTATTTCAAGGTCAAATGGGACAATTTTTTTTGCAAAATTTGTTTTTACTTCTGCTGATTTTCATAAACTACACAGATCTAACATATAATATTATGGGCAGGTGTTACCCTTACAGTTGTCTTTCATCTTTGTGACTTTGGGGTCAATTGGTGCATTTTCACTGGAGTAGCAGCCATTAGATCCCAAAACTGAAAACTCTCTCTAATTCTGGAGTTGTTATTGCTAGAGACCTCTTGTTTTTTGTTTTTGCATTTTGTAGAGCTTGTCAGTGCAACACTGGAGGTGGTGCCCATTTTTTGTTTTCGATATGGCTTTGTTGTTATATTATATCAAAAAGTTCAACATCCGATATTCAGTGGTGAAAATAAAATGTGAAATACTCCAAAATTAGCAGAGATACACCCATAGTTACTATAGAACTTGAATAGGAAGTCATATACTGGTAATCTAACTGTGACCTTGAAATTGACCTTTGGCCTAATTTTTACCATGGACTGAACCTTTCAAATCTTCTCTTATATCTAGAAAACTGGCAGAAATACACCCAAAGTTACTGTTGAACTTGAATAGGAAGTCATATATTGGCAATCTAACTGTGGCCTTGAAATTGACCTTTGACCTACTTTTTCACCATGAGCTGCATACTTTGCATATTTTCTTACCCCTCATATCTTCAAAGCTAGCAGAGATATACCCAGTGTGCCCCTAAGTTTTCTCTTTTGTCAGCATATTTGCAATACTGATAACACATTTTAAGGAAAACCAAAAGGGCTATTGTCTAGAAAATCACAAGAGTGATCAATGTTAGGTAAATAGAAGTCAGTTTGAAATTCTGCTTGATTGGACCATTTTAGTTACATTTTTTTTTTTTTTTTTGTATTTTTTTTTTTTTTGTATTATTTTGTATTATTTTGTATTTTATTTTTTTTCATAATTTGAGACAACTTGTTGATTGCATTTTATACAGGTAGATCTTGTCACGCATAAGACTGGTGATAGTGTCCCATTTCTTTCCATACGAATGAGCTTACCCCAGCTGGAGGTACAATATCCGGAGGCGGTATCGCCTCTCTGATCCTCTAGTTTTCACAGGTAACAAGAGCGTGTTTTATTTTCACAGGTAACAAGAGCGTGTTTTATTTTCACAGGTAACAAGAGCGTGTTTTATTTTCACAGGTAACAAGAACGTGTTTTATTTTCACAGGTAACAAGAGCATGTTTTATTTTCACAGGTAACAAGAGCATGTTTTATTTCCACAGGTAACAAGAGCATGTTTTATTTCCACAGGTAACAAGAGCATGTTTTATTTCCACAGGTAACAAGAGCATGTAAAGCACATGGTGGTTTCTACCTTGGATCCATTGGAGGTCCTGCAGCCATCTTGGCCAGTGACTGTATTAAGAAAGTGGAGGTTCTGGAGTACCCTGAACTTGGTAGGTGTTGACAATTTTGTTCTGTATTAAGAAGGTGGAGGTTCTGGAGTACCCTGAACTTGGTAGGTGTTGACAATATTGTTCTGTATTAAGAAGGTGGAGGTTCTGGAGTACCCTGAACTTGGTAAGTGCTGACAATTTTGTTTCTGTATTAAGAAGGTGGCGATTCTGGAGTACCCTGAACTTGGTAGGTGCTGGCAATTTTGTTTTTGTATTAAGAAGGTGGAGATTCTGGAGTACCCTGAACTTGGTAAGTGCTGACAATTTTGTTTCTGTATTAAGAAGGTGGAGATTCTGGAGTACCCTGAACTTGGTAGGTGCTGACAATTTCCTTTCTGTTTAATCCTGTCAACCCAAGACTTTTAAATGTTGTCTTATATTTCAGCTTGTAGTACATTGTAGTTTGGTGCCAAATTTTGATTATTTTTTTAATCTTCCAGTGAACTAGCAGATTTTTAGAATTAAAAACTTTTTGTCCGATTCATTTATTTCCTTATCCTGCAGTGTCTAGCAGATAGTTTTGTGTCATTCAGGAATGGAAGCCATCTGGAAGATCGAAGTGGAAGACTTCCCAGCATTCATTGTAGTGGACGATAAAGGAAATGATTTCTTCGACCAATGGTCTTTGGAGTAGATTGCAGTGGAGGAAAAGGGCAAATATAACTACAAAAGCAGGGAAAATAATAACTGGACACTGTTTATCGGATGAGAACTGGATATGATTTTTGGGCTAAAAGACTGTAATTCTAACATTTATTTGCTGAATTGTTCTTTTGGTACATTGCAAACACAATTTATTTAAAAGTGGGCGGGGGGGTATTGCAACATTATAATTTTCATAATACAATTTCAAAAGATCTGCTTTAATGTGTTTGTTGCAGTTTTGTTGATGTCAGGATTTACAAATAATCAAATGTTGCTGACATGTTCATATACTGTATGTGTCTTTTTGAACTATGTTCAGTTAACTGATTGCTTTCAATCTTGTGTATTCATGGCTTTATTGACATACTCAGTACACTGTGTAGCAAAGAGAGCTTTCTTTGAGTGCATCTTTCTACTTGTTGTTTAAAGAAAACTGTATCCACGCTGTGTAATAGCAACTGTCTGCCTAATATAATGAAAACATCAGTTAGGAAGAAGTAGAAAAGTAGTGATATCTAATATCAGAGTAAATGGTACTAAGTGACTATAATCTAGGATCCATCTAGAATCAAACATGACTTTATATCAGCAAGATGTTATATTTATAACAAAAATGAACAACATTAATTACTTATTGGATTTTTGACAGAGGTTAATTTGCCAGTGGTGAGTTATTGGAAATACATCTGTTTTGATTTCAATTCTTTGTGACATAAATGTCCAGTTTCAAATTTGCCTTTGTTTGTGCATGTCTTAGTTGAAATTAAAGTGCTGCAAACACAGTAAGTTCTGTACTCATCACCTGCAGGCCTACTGAACTACCAGACTCGGCACTGAATGAACCTGAATGCACCGGTAGATCAGAACACAATACCCGTTTTCAAGGTGTGTACCAGTACGCGCTGGTATCAGACCCAACACCGCTCTTGCCAAGTATGCTGTGTGACAGTGATGATTCTCAGCGGGGTTGAAAAGTAGTGCATCTCATCTCAAAATTTGTTCCTGGGTATGATACTGTGAAGTGCATACTGACGCACACCACATCTACCAGTGAATTCAGGATCATTCGGTGCCGAGTCTGGTAGTTGGGTAGGCCTTACCTAGCTCTGTCTGTCTACGTCACTCTTGGAAGAAAGCTACAATGTTGCAGACACTGCATTATGTAAGGCTGCATTTACAACCAGTTGGTCCATGGAATACCTAGTCCACAGATCAAGTATGGCACGACTCATTTGAAAGCAGGCGGAGATTGAATTGCTGTGCCCTTGCTTGGGCATCACTCATGGGAAGCAGTAGTTAATTCATAGCTAAGTGGGCGCCATATTCGATATGCAGTCGAGACTAGTTATTCCGCAGATCAACTAGTTGTGAGCACGTCCCCAGTGATATACATCATGAGAATACTTGGGGGCCTTGCATGGGGGTCAAGTTTGGATATGGGCATGCTCCTATGATCTTTTATATTTCTTGTTTACTGGGTATATATAAATTAAGCAGTGTAACAGGTTTACAAAATCTTAAAGATGGATGTCTCTGGTCTTGAATACTGATGTCTCATCATCACACTGAAACTGTTGGTCTTTAAATAGTTAAAACGCGGCACAGCATAGCTGACTCATGTTAGTCATTCAAAAATTAATTAAAAAAAAAAAAATATGATAGAAATAAGATGAATAACACATCAGATTTTATTGAAACCGTACACATGTACATGTTCAAAAGGTTACAAGGTATCTTCATATTCTATCAACTTAAGAACCATGTTTGAAAAGTGCTGTTTTGAAAGTCATTTCACTTTGAAAGGTCCTTGGATTACATAACGTTGCATAACTTGGATTACATAACACAGTATGATACCCAAGTTGCTGAAGACTGTTTTCTAACTACCCCAGGATGGGACTGTCTTTACAGTGTTCACGGAAGGACTTGCAGCAGCCCTGCAGGACGGTGGGGCTACGGCAGACGTCAAACTTATTGTCTGAGAAGATTGTGGCACAGGTGAAGGTATTGCCATCTTTGTCACTGAAGGACGTACCAAGGTGGTCTCCATTGCACTCTGAAATGTAAACAGTTATAATGAAATAAAGTTATATATCAGTGGACAGTATCTTGGTGATTTTTTAAATCTTTTTTTCTCATTTTTTTCTATTCTCTTGGAAAATGTTTTAATGAATTGGCATTTGTGTCTGCATAAAATCATATTAACTGGCTGTCACCCTACCAATTTTTGTTTATCATCCAGTGGCCATTGAAAACCTACCCCCACTTCAAAACCTCTACACTTTGAATCCATCAATATTTCCTGATGGCCAAACAACTGTAGAAGGAAATTCTTTGAAAACTTACCCCCACTTCAAAACCTCTACACTTTGAATCCATTAATATTTCCTGATGAACACACAACTGTAGAGGGAAATTTATAAAAATAGTCAAGACAGCAGGTGAGGTGATTTGGACAAATATCTGATATATTCATTTACCATTTTATGTATCTCTTATTCTTCAGCTGTTTCCCTTTTCAATACATCATCTTAAACTTATTTAATTCTTAATGTTTTTGAAACCTTTTAACAGGGTAAATGATTCCCAAAAATCAACATTATATGTAATGACACAATACATATTCATCTCTGCGTAAAGCCAGCACGATGAGAAATAAAGACCTCTCTATGCTCACCACACATGACTCCCCTGGTAAGACAGCAGTGCTGGATGACCTGGTGATAACAAAGATCTCTATACTCACCACACATGACTCCCCTGGTAAGACAGCAGTGCTGGATGACCTGGTGATAACAAAGATCTCTATACTCACCACACATGACTCCCCTGGTAAGACAGCAGTGCTGGATGACCTGGTGATAACAAAGATCTCTATACTCACCACACATGACTCCCCTGGTAAGACAGCAATGCTGGATGGCCTGGTGATAACAAAGATCTCTATACTCACCACACATGACTCCCCTGGTAAGACAGCAGTGCTAGATGACCTGGTGATAACAAAGATCTCTATACTCACCACACATGACTCCCCTGGTAAGACAGCAGTGCTGGATGACCTGGTGGTGATGACAGGCGGCCAGACCAACTTTACTAATCAACTCCGAACACGTCATGTTTCCAAGCAGGACATTGGTTGTGTCTCCATAGCAATCTGGAATAAACGAATCATGTGCCTTTTTGTTTATGGCAGCTTTGACACTTCTTATTGTTTGGGAAGGCATGTACATATGTTAGACTGATAACGGTGGAAGCCATGTGACTTTCCACCCTGGCCCTGCCTCATCACATTGTAACAGCTTGTTAGATCAGGGCGTTTTTATGGTACCGGACAGCATCTGGACAGCACAGAAGATGCTGTAGTAATTTGACTGTCATTTAACACCCTCTCTGTCCCTTGCTACACAATACAAAGCGGTGTAGGTGTGACTTACTGTCGCAGACTTTCCTTCTGCTTGCACAGCAAACCCCAGCCACGTCTCCCCTGTGACAGGCCGTCTGCCCTGTCTTCATGAAGAAGTCGTGACAGGTCATCTCATTGACGCGGATGTTAGGCGTGTCCTTGCAGTCTGTAAAGAGATACATGGTGACATGATGACACATTTTGACATTCGGTTGACATTTTGATAAATATTTATACCTAAATCACTCAATGATATTTTTCAGGCTGTATACTAGCACATGTCGTTACATGTAAACTGATGGCCAATAAATCACTCAATGATATTTTTCAGGCTGTATACTAGCACATGTCGTTACATGTAAACTGATGGCCAATAAATCACTCAATAATATTTTTCAGGCTGTATACTAGCACATGTCGTTACACGTACACTGATGGCCAAAAACTAAACTACAGATCTAGAGAGGAAGGAGAGGGAGCTAAGCGTGCACTCATGTGCAAATATTTAGTCCTTTATTTAAACGTGCACTGCCTAGAGCAAACTACTGCTTTGAGCACAGGAACCCTTATGAGTTTGACAAACCAATATAAACCGCTTTTTACTAACATTTTTACACTTATTTTCGTTTAAATGAAATGGTTATCTTTATATGTGTAATTCTAACGTTTATAATCTTTTTTTCACTTCCCCTACCTCCACAGTATCTCCATCGTGTGGCACAACATTTCCGTGACAAATCCACGTGGTCACAGAACTTGATCCCTGTAGCCTGGAAAATCTGGAGGCACGTCAACCCGTTCACCGTCCCGCCTTCATCCTGGCAAGCTGAACATTAGAACAAAATATAACTGGAGGTACGTCAACCCGTTCACCGTCACCCCTTCATACTGGCAAGCTGAACATTAGAACAAAACAACTGGCCATGAATGCCGTGCGTTAGTCTTGTGTCAAACTAATACTAAGTATTACATACATAAATATTCTGCTACGTCTTGAGTGGAAGGGTTGTTTCGTGTTTGCTTGCAACTTGTACGAACTATAAGAAGAGAGAGAGAGAGAGAGAGAGAGAGATCTGACTCACGCGCAAACCCCACATTTCTCTTGTGTACAACAGCCTGGTTGGCGTCAAAAAATGGGTCCACAGCTAAAAAGAGAAAATCGGCGACAAATACAATAAATGGATAGACGTCAACGTTGCACAGAATACTACAAAAAGGACATCTTGTATTTTTTGAAAAACCTATTAACTGATAATACTGAATGTAACCAATGAGGAAGACTAGCTTAATTACCTTTCTCTCCAGACGAGTACGACACTTCAAACTCCTCCTGTAACCAAAATCAACAAACGTGAATTCTAATTAAAATTGAACTATACTACATGTGTATACATGAATAAACTCCTGTTTGCAGCACCTGATGGTCTTGATAAATCTAAGTTAAGGCATACCACATGTTTGTATGCATTTAAAGAGTACATTATCAAAAATGAGACTATAGAACTCGATTTATTTTCTGACAACAAAATGCCATAGAGCACATACATATTATGTAGATTACTAACCTTAGCAAAGACAACAGCGAGGCAGCAGTACAGCAAAAGTCGCAGCATTTTGCCCACAGTTCTGTTCTTTCAAATATGATCTGAGTTAATTCTTATTTTCCTTGGTTTCACCTCACGAATGATGCGTTATATATACCATTTAGCACAAGTCAAATGCGTAGTTTCATGGACAAATCGTGATGTTTTTGAAGACCTGATGCATGGCGTCACTTTCAAGGACAAAACAACGAAAACCGTAAAACAATCACTGAATCAAAACTTTAGCGCTTAGTACTTTCATTTTTAATCAATTCATAATGTTTGAATGCAGACATCTACAAATGAAATTTACTGGACTGGTTACTGTTTATTGTTCTATCGAATTTTGACAGTTCAGTGAGTAGTATTATCAATCCAACAGAAAGACTACTGTTTTAATGTTGACAGTAAAAATAAGTTTTACAGTACCTGGGCGTCCGATAGTGGCCAGAAACGCACACGTGGGTACGGGACAGGTGCCGTGGTAATGTTGATAAACAACGTGACCGGTAAGTGTAAACAGTCCCGAGAACGAGTGCTTTAACTTAATTCAAGGAAGGTTATTCACTTGTATTGGAGGTAGACATCTTGGCAGAGGCAGGAGTATCGATAACGTAAGGTCTTGGTAGCCAAATGTAGTTAGAGATGTTAGGGTCGATATTGAGACTTGAGACAGGTGTCAGATCGGGGAATAAATAGGCTAATCTAGTAGCCCTGATGTACCACCAATCCCTGTCCAAGATATTGCGCTGTGTCATTCAGCAAGTATTTTTTCCTAAATGCAACTCAATGTAACATAAAGGACATTATGAAATATTAATTTTAATTCAGGTGGATGAAGTACCAATATTGTTGATATTAATAAGAACAGTATTTTAACTGATTTTACAGATATGAATAGCCCGCTAACCACTTACGCCAGTGGCAGTAAATATGTCATTACTGTCACGTGTTATTCCAGCAAAGAGGCACAGTCAAGTGCTTTGTCGTCCAAGCAGGCAAATGGAGTGGCTTCCTTTAGCTCCCTACTGGATCGTTTTTAGAGGTAATGATATCTTACATTTAGATCACTGTTAAAAACTAAAGAAATATGAATGAAAAATGTATCTTAAATATTCATTCAATCAGTGCATATATGCGCTGTTGTATTTAATTGCCTACACATAAAACTAATGCCTAGCTTGTTTTATCAGTTTTGTTTCCCCAAAGAAAAAAACTAATGATGCGTTAATAGATAAAATAAAATAACCAACCCCCTGAAAGCATCAGTTGCAGAACAGTCGACTCACAGGTAAAAATAATGACATCTTGATTAAGTCAATTATTGCTGTATGTGCGAAGAAAATGATGTAAATAAAGCCAAATATTATTTAACAAAGATTCGATCATACCCTAAATAGGATGCTTCTTTATACTCCCGTCACACTTATTCGGAATCAGCAGGAATGAAGAAGAATGAGGCGGAACGAAAAATTTTTAAAATTCGCACCACATTCGGGGAAAAATTCAAATTGACCTTAATTATTGTAAGAGCACCGTTGGAATACTCAGAATGCGCTTGAATTCGCCTGGAATGATGAAAAGCCGTTCGAATGTAGTTGGAAAACTAATAATATTTATAATGCTGTAAGAAAACAGTAAGAATATTTAAAATATACTTTAAACGGCGCACTAGTGAAGTTCGATAATAATAATAATAATAATAATAATAATAATAATAATAATTTATTGGCTAAAATCTCAACCCAAAGGTTGAAGTTTTACATTGTATCATAAATGAAATCATAAGGTATTTAAAAGTAACTGAAAATTATAAACTAAAAGACCAAAGCTTTACAACAAGACTTATAAGACAGTTTGGAGCAGTATTTTACATGGAATTTAAAAGACTGTGCATTATAAAAGATGATTCAAAACGCTCCGTTTACACTTTTGGTATTAAAAATTTGTTGCTGACCCTGAGATTTCTTGGGTTCTTTTCTTTAAACAGATGGTGTAACTTATTAAAATTCTTGATTTTTGTAAAAAAAGTTCTTAAATAAAACGTCTTTTCTCTTCCTAAGAGAGGTTAGATACTAACCTGTAGGGCATGCTTGTAAATATAAAATGGGTAAATAATTCTAAGAGCCTTTGAACAGATTCTAAGCATTCACATTGTTCGGCTGTAAGACCAGGCCCCCACACAGGGCATGCATATTCTAGGACTGATCTTGTAAGTGCCAGATTCGTTGCTTTAGATTTACAAGGTGTGAGTGCTAGATTTCCTGTTTTAGGTATACAAGGTGTGAGTAGTTTTCATGACTTGCATGAGTAGCGAACCCGTTTTGAATGTAACCGAGTCATAACGCTACAGGATTTTGCACAAGTTGGGTCTCTCCTGCATTTTACCGTTATTTCCAAAGTTGTATGTTGTATTGTTACAGTTCTACGGAGGAATCATAATGTAAGTGTTTATCTTATCAAAATATATATGAGCATTGTATTTATTAGTTTTCTGTATAAATCATAAAGGTAAAATATTGGTATATCAGCTAGAGCACCTGGTGGGGTGTGGCCATTAGTATGAAATACAGTAAATGTAAAATACGAGAACGCATTGGTATAATTGTCAACTGTAAAGTCTTGCTGTAATTCAGTATTTAACGTTTTAATTAAAATTACATTATGGTAATTGTATTATAAGGTAAATGTCATATTATTTGTGCTTATTGAATAGATAACAGACTCAAGTCTCGCTATATAAAGCCGACTTTATGTAATGTTCAATATATCTAGTAAAATACAGTTATGCATTTGATGTAAGTAATTTAAATGTTCAGATGTACATGTATAAGTATTTGTATAGTTTCCTTTATTTATTTATTTATTTATTTATTTATTTTATTTATTGTTTTCTTTCCTAGATTATGTATCTTGCTGTTTTGCTGACTTGCTGACTTGTCCATTTGCTGTACCGACATAAGAGATGTGAATGGCAAAATGTTAACTGAACTGAACGTTGAAATAAAGCATGAGTTACATATATTCTCCACTGTCTCAACGATTTCACAGATCTAATTATTGATTGATACATAAGTATTAGATCCTCAGTGGCCAGATTTGCCCTTTTCAACTGCCTGAGATAAAAAAAAGCTTGGCACAAGACTTGGAATAAATTAACTGCACATGTTCTGTCCACTTGAGATCAGAGGTCAGAGTTACCCCTAGTACATGTAGCTTAAAGGGATATTAACTCTTCGTTTTGGCCAAAAAATTAATTTTCCTGGAGTAAACAACAATTTCCCCATACTTACCAATGGTTAATAAATCTATTTTTACATTCAGAGTTAGTCCCTGGTTTTTTCTAAAAAGTTTGGCTTTTTGTTAAAATCTCTTACGAGATTATAACAGAGCACAGCCGTCATTGGAAGTCACATGATTGAAGACAGGTTCAGATATCAGAATAATAGCTATAACTGCTGTTTTCATGGTAAAACAGAATATATATTACATTTCTATGATTTGTTCACTATGTTTTTATTGTGAAATATAGATATCATACGAAGAGTTATTATCCCTTTAAAATTACTCACTTTTTCTACAATTTCTCCATCTACCAATAGTAGATTGCTGGCAACATTAATATTTCAGCTCATCCGAGGCACATTCGAAATTAATCTGGAGAGAAATAAAATATTAAACACACTATAGGCAGAATGCATTCCAGGATATTCAAAAAGCATTCTAAAAACTTTCTAAAAATTCTGAGTGCATTCCAAATATTTTACCCATTCTTGTGGCCGGCTCGAATGTTTTTGTCATGTCAGAAACAAAACACAGAAAAAGAGAAAGTCCCCGCCTTTCATTGCAGTGTATGGCAGGTATGCGACATAGCTTGGAAACCTTATGTTTGTTTTAATGTTTTATAAAATATATCACGTGAAACAGTGCATTAATATTAATACATACAGTAAATACAATACTCACTCCTGCTGAATTTGGGTGCCATACTAAAAATTGTGACAACATGTTGTCTTCTAAATTCAATCATTTTTACCAGAGATTATAGGACTGCACTGGAAGTGGATCAAATGACAAAGAAAACGAACAAAAAATGAACCCACAAGTCCTCCAACAAACCACAAAGAGAAGTGCAGATGCCTTGTCAAAAGCCAGTCAGACCATTCTTGGGAATATTGCCCAAGCACAATAAAGGTAAATACAAGGTCATATGACAGAAGGCACATCTTCCAGGATGTAAGTAAACCACGGTCTGTAAACTCTTCGTTTTCATTTTAGCTAACCAGTTACTTTTCAACATTGTAAAAATCGCTACACATGGATATTAATACATCTACAGTCTCAACCACACGACTGGCCTTCTCATTACAGGCTATATCGGTGCAAAGATGTCAAAACAGAACATGCGGAGATAAGACCGTTATGGTGACAAAAACCAAGATCCAGGGTTTGGTCCGTACCTGGTGTGACGCCAAACCAAATACATATTGTGCACTGTGAAGGAAAATACACTGAAAGGCACATGTGGGTGGCGAAAAAAATATATATTTGTTGGCTAATTCTATTCGATATGATATAAGTAAAAATACATAACTTATTTTAATATTTTAATATGAATATAATATTATTATTTTGGATGATGTATTAATCTCCATGGGTCGTTTATCATTTAATGAGAAATATATGGAATTTATATGTTTTCTTAATATTTTACCTGTATGATCCTGTTGCTCCCTTCATTTATCATTTATATATTTTACATGGGTTGGGGATTCGTTTATATTATATTTATAAATTTAACCGAATAAAGTATATCAATATTATAATGATAGCAAAAAATTATGCCTAAATTATTTAATGACATATTGGTTACCTAAGTCCTGCAGTCGCCGTTACTAAGCATTCTAAGTCCTGCAGTCACCCGTTACTAAGCATTCTAAGTCCTGCAGTCACCCGTTACTTAGCATACCAATATTATACATACAAAACAACGTCTGGGATAATCAATTGCTAGTTTAGTTGGGAAGATATGTCCTACAAGTGACTGCAGGATTTACAATACCATGGATCTTTATATAGGTAAAACGCAGTACAGC